TAACGAACCAAACCTCCACTACCGAAGTAAATTTGGTACAGAATAGTGAATTGACTCCTCGACTAAAATCGTCAATTCACTACCTTCAATCAAGGGTGCTCTATCAACCTAGGCAGATATTCTCTTTCTAGGTCAAAGCAGAAACAACAGGAATTTGATCAAGATTCATGCCATTCAACAAATCAAACCTCAATTGAACATAATCATGTCACAAAATCTGTACTTGGGTTCATACAATCAGACCTAACATACAAATCTAGGGTTCTTCATACCCAAGTGAATAAGAAAACTACTCCATAGAGAGAGATGGGAAATCTAGCTCAGATGCGGAAACCATACTGTGAAGGATGATAATCTGCTTCTGGCACTCAATAAGGTCTTCTCCAAGCTCAAGTCGAGCTCCAATAGTGATGGATATCGATCTATGACATTTGCGGAGTCAGGTTCGTCACTTTCTCTCTCTAGGTATCGCTTTTTCTCTCTAAAACTCGAAACCCTTCACTTTTGGACTTCTTTTCCCTTAAGAAGCTATCTGTCGCGATCCCCGGCCTGAATACCCGGTCGGGTATTTTGGATGTCGACCGGGTATATTCAAAACGCAGAGTCTGAAGACAGGGGAAATCCCCGGTCAATGCCAAGAATCCCCGACCGGGGATTTTCGCTCTGTGCCCGGGCCCCCTTCTGCTTCTCAGAGACGCCCGAAGCAACAAATCCCCGGTCTGCTCCAAATAATACCCGGCCGGGTATTTATGCTCATGGCCGGGTATTTTGCTCCTCCAGCACACTTCACCCCAAACGTGCTCATTTCGACCAGAAACTCATTTCTTCGCCTCGATGCAAACGCTGGGCCCTGAAATATGACATAAACGCACAACCTAGCGTGAAATCGGCTTAAAACATGAGAATCAACATCTCAAACGGCTCAAGAATAGGGGTAAAAACATGTGTATCAATGGTCTATCAGTATGCTTTGTTATGAACTCACAATGCAATGATTGTCTCACTCAGCCATGAGCTGACCCTCTTTATCCTTTTTCTCTGCTTATGCCAAGTGTAAGCAGATCATCAGCATCAGCAGCAGTAGATAGGTGTATAAGTGGAAGCTGAGCAAGAGTTGAAGGAAAGATGAGGTATGGTCTTGAACTATTATGTGCTTGGTCTACTATGCGTAGAAAGTTGATAATATGTGTATATTAGTGTAATTATGTAAGTTGTGACGATTATAGCATGTATTAGTATGGTATGCAGTTATGTAGTATGAAACTGTGACTATGGCTATGAAAGCCAATGTATATGGTTATGGGCATATGTGTATGTCTATGGATGCAAGGATTCAGATAAACTATTTTGTAGGATTTAGTTACAAGAACTGTTAGCCCATTACGCGAGTAATTCATGTCGAAATTTTAATTGGGTAAATTTTGTGATTAATGTAATACCCGACATTATTTCCGCTGCAATTGTATGAACATTACGATTAGGTAATACGTACAGGGTAGGGTGTTACATAGAATTTCTTAAAGAATGGAAAGTCGCTTTCTCTAGTCAAGGTAGCAAAGTCATCCAATGAGTCCACAACTCTACCAGATATATATATTTAATGCTCAAGTGAACTATTGGATCGACATCTGGCGATGTTCTCCTCCGAGTCTAAACTAATGTTGTTTTCTAGAACTGTAGTGAGTGTGCTTGATCGCGCTTCCGTGATCGAGCTTTAAATTTATGTCTATGCACACTCTCTAATCAATCCTAACTAAGCCAAGTATAACCTAGCTAGGTTTGTATTAAAGTGGCTCGACCGTATTCCAATGGAACCCTAAGCTTACTATTACTTCGCTTTGAACTACTATTTAATCGAATCGGAAGTTTGGTGAAGAATCTAACCTAAACTCCTAAACAACCAACCAAGTGGTTGGGAAACCGCTAGAAATGAGATTGTTGCCTAGAATTGAATTCCCCTAGCTATAGTAGGTAAGTTGAGTTTAACGGATAAGGTGCGAAACTCTCTAGTCTGGGGATTTCTCCATCCTCCTAGCGTTACCCACAAAGACCCAATGTCACCTCGATCTAAGTTTCAACCCTAGGGATGCTCTCATAGTTCCTTCAAATAGGTTCAACCTATCGCACACTACTGGCACTACAAGAAATTTGACCTTAAATGACAAATTAATTTTGTTGTCATAAAATATTTGTCATATTAGGCAACTAACTATGACAAAAAACGGACTTGTCACATTTAATTGACTATATGCGACAAAAGTTATATATGTCATTTAAAGTTGTCATAATAGATTTATATTGTGATAAAGTTTTTGTTGTCATTATAATTTTGTCACTATATGTCTTATTTACCGTCACCTTATGGTTTGTCACATTATGTTCAAAAAATTCTCTGATATGACAATATAATTTTTCATAATATGGCGTGCAGAATGAAATAAACTTTTTCTTTACATTTTTTTTATAATTTCTATTTTTCGTCCACAATTCCATTCGGCGGGACTATTATTCCCCTTCCCTCCAAGACGAAAAAAAACCCCCCAATCTGCCTCTCTAACCCTTCAGCTCCAAGAACAGAAACCCCAATTCCATCTCCGCTGCGAATTGAAAAGTCCAAACCCCTCTCCCCACATCCTCTTTAGCGATTCGTCTGGGTACGTTCTCCTCCTCGCGAATCGATTGTCCGGTAAGTCTCGTTCTTCTCCTCGCCCTGGACTCCTTTTCCTCTACGATTTTGGTTATGATTTGCATGGTGGATACCTGATCCCGATAAAAGCAGAGCTGGGTTCCTCATGTTTCTTCTTCTATCTCTGTCGTTCATAGGCGCTCTTGCACAAGGGTAGGGATTTCCCTCCGAATCAACAGTCTCCGATTAACCAAGTTGCAACTTTGCTTCGACGGCCTGCCTTCCCTGCCGCGAGTTCCCTCCGTCGATAATTCGGGTAAGTTTGGCCATCGATTTTGTGTAAGCCCAGTGTATGGATTGGCTTACATAGATAGCCGTTAGGAAATTTTTGTAGCTAGTACGCGAGATGAGTAAATTTGATGCAATGGATTTGGATGAAGGCAACATTTGGTTTGGTTTTTGATGGGGATGGTTGTTGTTTCTGAAACGCCAATGTGCCATGACTTACACCGGTCGTTCTCTAGCTTGTTGATGGCTGTGAAGTCTGAATATGGTGTTGAGTGCTGCCCATTTTGTTTGAAATCTGCTTTGATTTCCTCCGTACTTAGCCACTTGAATGTGTTACGGAGATGTAGAAAAAAAGTAAATGTTTAGGTTTTTGAGGTAAAGAATCATTATCAGATTACTTGTTTTAGATCAGTAAGGTGCCTTCTGAATAGCCTTAGTGAAGGTAGGTACTCTGCTCTAATCAGTCTTGTATTATGCCATACAAAGCCTTCAGAATCTGAAACATGATTGAAAAGATTAGTCCTTATGATGATTACCTCAGCTACCCAGATGTTGAATTCGTAATTCTGATGACTTCCCTTGATCTTGTTGATTCTGAAACGCGTATGATTTGAAGCACCATGCTGTTTGGGTTTAACTAAGATGACTATCTCTCTGGTGTACCGTTTATCTCCTTTCTAAGTTAAAAAAAAGCATAATTTGTTTCCTAGATTTGAGCTGCTTTGAACTGATTTCAAAGTTTAATACTACATGCAGGTTATTTGTCTCTTTGGTCGATCACAACCTGCTGCGGCAAGTTACAGACTGCAATCAAAGGTCATTTATACCTTAACGCGTAATGAGTCGTGAGTGGATAATGCTCAAAGATCATTGGTGTGCTGATTATGAGTAGGGTGTTAATGAGTTCATAGAAGCTGCTTCTAAGCCTGTTGATGCAATTGGTAGGGTTAGATGTCCGTGCAAGAACTGCAATAATCTCTACTTTAAGACATTAGTCCAGGTGCGGGGATACATATTTAAGCATGGCATGGTCGAGACATATAAAACGTGGGTCCATCATGGTGAGTCTTATGGTGTTAGTAATAGCGGTGAAAACCCACCGACTGAGTCTGACGATGTTCGTAATGAAGAGAGTGGGTTACAGACCGACATGTCTGAAATGTTGGGTGATTTTGGTAGGGAGAATGAATGTCTAACAACCGCTGAACCTTCCCAGGGTCCTAATAATAATGGTGCATTGGCAAGGCTCCTCAAAAATGCCAATTGCCCTCTTTACCCTGAATGCCAAAAAAATTCAAAACTGTCCTATGTTATGAAAATGATGAACATCAAGATACAGATAAACAGTAGTGATAAAGCATTCAACCAATATCTTGAATTAATCAAGGAAGGTTTACCGAATGGGGAAACACTTCCCACTTCATTCTATGAGGTGAAGAAGTATATGCGTGATCTTGGATTTGGTTACACCATCATTGATGCATGTCCCAATAACTGTGTTCTGTATAGGGGGCAGCTTGAAGCTGTTCGAGAATGCCAAAAATGTAAAGAACCTAGGTTTAAATCTGGTAAACAGAAAGATGTTGCCTTAAAGAGAGCTAGATACTTCCCCATTAAGGATAGGTTGCGGCGGTTGTTCACTACCAAAGATCTAGCAAAAGATATGCGGTGGCACAAGGATAAACGCGTTGATGATGACATGCTTAGGCATCCAGCTGATGGTAAAACATGGAAGGATTTTGATCGAGATCACCCTTGGTTTGCTGCGGATCCTAGGAATGTCAGACTAGCGCTTCTTAGTGATGGGTTTAACCCACATATTTATACAACGATTGCTGCCTGCTGTTGCTAATGGTTTCTTCACAAAAGAAGTTTTCACTATTTTGGCTGAGTTGAGTGGTTTTTTCAGAGAGTTGTGTTCCAAAACAATATCCAAAGCCACTGTAAAAAATTTGGACCACAACATACCTCTCATTTTGTGTAAGCTTGAGATGTTATACCCTCCATCTTTTTCGTGGTTATACTGCACCTTTCCGTTCATCTACCCCATGAGGTAGAACTTGGTGGAACAGTACAGTATAGGTGGATGTATCCCATGGAAAGGTAGCCTTTTTCCTTTAGTTTTTCGTTCACACCATACTCTAATTTGTTAACCCACTATGCCATTAACCTTATTTTATGGGCTGTTGTTTTTGTGTACTTAGGTTTCTTGGTACCCTTAAAAGTTTTGTTCGAAATAGGGCTAACCCTGAGGGGTCCATTGTTGAAAGATATATTGCAAAAGAGTGCTCCGATTTTTGTTCTAGATACTTGGAAGGGTTTGAAACAAGATCTTCTCGTCCTAACCGTAATGATGACGAGTTTGAAGGTGTTGAGTCTGAGGGCTTTCGTGTTTTTACCCAACAAGGTAGAACACTAGGAGCTACTCGTTATGACCCGATTTCAGTAGAAGAATTTGAGCAAATTCAATGGTATATACTTAATAATTGGGATGAAATTGAAGACATTATCAAGTAAGTACAATCTAACTTTGACTACTAAATGCAACGTTTTCTTTTACACATCTTTACTCCCTGACATATCTGATTTCTTATCGCTGCACAGCATGCATAAAGATGAGAAGGTTAAAGAGAACCCTAACATTTCCTATCAATCCCTTAAAGCTAACTTTCCGTCTTGGTTGAAGCAACATGTAAGTTATGGTGGATGATACCCCTATTCCTGCCTTCGGTGCCATTTTATTTCATTATAAATAACTGATTTCCTTGCTAATCCCTTAGAGCTAACTTTTTTGTTCTTTTCACTACTTCACTGACTGCCTAGGTTACCAAATTGTGTTTGGCTGGTTCCCTTAAAGCGCGAGACCATTTACATGTATTAGGGTTAGGGGCAGACACACGCGTCACTAGGTACAACGACATCCTCTTTAATGGTGTTCGTTACCAAGTTTTTGACCCAAAACAAACCCATAGGACTCAGAACAGCGGTTTATTTGTGGAAGGGGCTCATAATGGAGAGAATATTGACTTCTACGGTGTGCTAGTTGACATATATCAACTGACCTACTGCTATGGTAATCGGGTTTTTGTGTTCAAATGCGATTGGTGGAATGTAGGAGATGGCAGACATGGGATACGCTCAGATAGGTTCATTACTAGTGTTAATATGGGTAGAAAATGGTATCAAAATGAGCCTTATATATTGGCTGGTCAAGCGAATCAGGTATTTTATATACCTGATATAAAGATTGGTGGTGCTTGGCATATTGTTATCAAGGTTACTCCCCGACACGTGTATGATGTTCCTGAGAAGGAGGAAGGGGAAATCAATGATCCTGTGTATGCAAGTGAGGCGTTTCAGCAAGAAGAGAGTGGTGTTGGCAATGTGATTCAAGTGCAGGACACGGAGTTGGATGACCTGAATCGTGCAAACGAGGCTCCCACAATGGTCAGTGAGAGCGTTATTAAAAAAAGGGTTGTTGTACTCGACACAGAGGATACAATGGAGGACAAAGAGGATGACACATTAGCTGATTTTGATGATGTTTTGGAGGGAGCAGCAGCTAATAACCCTTTGGACGAAATCGACAGTGACGATGAATATGACAAGTAGCGAGTGCATAATGACAACTGGTCCTTTTATTTTACGTCTTGTTTTCTACTTATTGCTAAGACAAAATACTCATTTACCCATTTAACTAAGTACAGAAGGATTTGATTTTGCATTTACTTATATTGTTTTACAATGTATGCGGAATTTTGGTTAATATACTACATATATTGCTAAGCAAAAATATTCACTTCCCTATGTTGTCTATTATACTCTACATCTTTGTTGAGTTTATACGTTTATAAGTGTTTGGATATTTGCTGACGGTTTAACTTTGTTTGGACTGTGAGCAGAAATGCCACCGAGGCCTGAATAGAAAGTAGGGACTGGGAAGCAGCCGAAGACGGTCTGTGAACGAGTGACCAGATCCCATCCAGCGAGGAGTGTAGATAATGCAGGGAACTCGTGCATGGGTCCACTGAGGTCTCCGATAAAAAAATGCAGGTCACCGAGGGGTAAAGGGAGGTCTAAGAGGGGTGAAGGGGTGTCTCCGAGGGGTGGAGGGAGATCTCCGAGGGGTGAAGGGGTGTCTCCGAGGGGTGAAGTGGTCTCTCTGAGGGGTGAAGATCGGGTGTCTCCGAGGGTTCCAAGGAGGACTACTGAACCTATAGAGGAGATTGACGAGAATGCAGATAATACTGCCACATCCATGCCTAAACAACCGGAAAAGACAGGTGTGTGTTATCCTAACTCTTCTTTTGTCACTTGAGAAACATGGATTATCACATTTCTATTACTATTTTGGATGATTATAATTTGACCTACATCCATAGGTGGCCGAAAGAGGGGGCTGACCAAAGGTGTTCAAGTGATGGCACAAACCACTGGGGGAGTAGGATCGATGGAGTATTCCTGCAGGAGAACAGCCACGCAATTGTGGGCCCTAACCAAAAGTTGGTGAACACAGAAGTTGGTGTCGTTGCTCGTATGATGGCTCCCATAAGGAAGTACTATTGGACTGAGTTGACTGATGAAGACAAACACCCTATGTTTGTGAAACTAGAGGTACGGTAATCTGTCTTTGTTAATTTAAAATTATAAATTGCATAGTCTGATGCATGGAATTTGATGAAATTGCAGAGCGAGTTTGCATTTGCCTCAACTAAGGAAGAGGTGAGGAAGGCTTTAGATAAGAAAATCCACAAACGCTTCTTGAACTACAAGTACACCTGTCATAAACACTACAAGGAACAGGAAGACCCGACCAATGCTCGTCTGAACCCTCCAGAAGGAGTGAAACAGGAAGACTGGGAGGCCCTCTGTGAGCACTTTGAGAGTGATCGATTCAAGGTAAAAGTTTCCGTGTTTGGATATTTGATGACATTTGTACAAGATGACAGCTTAACACACATTTCTGTTTGCAGGGGCGGAGCACAAATAACATACAAAACAAGGCTAAGCAGCAGTATGCTCACACTACTGGGCCAAAATCCCATGACCAGAGAGTGTATGAAATGGTATAGCATTAAGTTTTATTTACATCTTTGTACAACAACAAATCTGAATTTGAACAGCTGACTATAAACTAGGGGTAAACAGGCCACTTACCACACCTTTACCGTGTTTGAACATTTGAACTATCATGTATAGGAGCAAAATAAGCTGGCTGCACAAGCAGCTCAAACGGAGCAGGTAGATGACCAGGATGCTGAGGATGATGATGCGGTGCTCGTTGACATTGAGTTGTATGCCAACACACACAAGAAGGAAACTGATGGTACTTGGGTGAGTGAGGAACCGAAAGCGAATTATGTAAGCCCTTCTGCTCCTCTTATATTGTGTACCTAGTCCACGAACATGAATGGATATTCGATGTATAGTTATTGTAATAGGTTGATTGAATTAAGATTGAATTAGTGGGTTGAATCATAATCCCTCTCACTTTGTTGCTTCATGAGGGTAAATTTGGACGGTTCTTTAATAACAATGTTTTGGCTGCTGTGTTCTGAATCGCAAGTTGGTTTGTTGAGAGCAATGGCAATTATAGTGTGTCCTAGGACTGAATAGTGATTCTGTGTTGTTAGTTTGCTGATGTCTCATAAGCCATACTTCTATTTGCCACATATGCTCTTTATAGTTTATTAGTTGATGGAAATTAAATTAAGCAAACCTCTGAAAGGGATTTCTCGAAGAGAACCATGGTTCGTGGTTGCTCTTATGTATGCATTAACCATCTGAGTTGCAATTATCTAACTGAGCATTATTGGAGTTCTGTTTGCCACAATTCACTATGTCAGTAGTGTGAAGTGGAATATTACAAGTCAATTACAAGTCCTCGTTTACCTTCTGTGAACTTTTTTTGGGAGATCTTTTATATTGTGGCCTGTATATTTGGGTGTGGTGACTTTTATTTTGGTGCAATGTAGGAGGCGATGCTGGCCCTCCATGCCCAAGCAAAGGCAGATGGGAATCCGCTGCTGGGTCGTGACATCGTTCAGAAGGTCTTGCGGAGGAAGCTCAAGTATGGACCTAAAGAAGCAGTGAGGAAGTCGGCAATAGAAGTTCAGCTGGAAGCTGAATTGGCAGCAGCAAAGGCAGAGGCGGAAAGTAAGACCAAGGAGTTGGAGGCCAAGCTGGTAGAGCAGGATGAGAAGATTAAAGCTCGGGATGAGTAGATTGAAAAACATAAAGTAGAGCTTGATCTGCAACATGAGCGTTTGGCTAACCAAGGGGAAAAGATGGAACGAATGCGCCAGGCACAAGAGAAGATGCAAAAGAGTATGGAATCCGTCGTCGCCAAACTCAGCAACAAATGATTGCACCAGGTACATAGCTATTATTCAATGCATGAATTTGATCTATAGAACTTAGTCATATGTTAGAAACAATTATGCACGAATGTGAAGTCTCAATCTAGCTTTTTCTCAAATTGCAAGTGCAGGTGTGGACGCATCCCTCCACGACCGTGTGTTCATATGACTTGAGGAGGTCGTCCTTAGAGAATGTTTTCCTGAACGGATATATTTATAAGTAGTTGTCGGCTGCAAACCCATTTTGGACAATATGGTTGTGTCGAACAGAATGTAGGAGTGTGTGATGTGATGCATGAATATTAACTATTTTGCCTCTTTGTAAACTGTGAGCTAGGACCCTGAATATTCAGCAAACAACGTTTACTATATGAATGTGAATGTCGGCTTGTTTTATGACATGTTTTATGTGTATTTCGCTTGTCACAGTTACTGCTTACAGGAACGAACAAATTATGATAATGTTCCATTATCATTTTATGTTTAAAATATGACAAACAATTCATTATCCTGACGTATATATTGTCAGAAAAATGGTATTACGACAGAGAAGATCCATTATTATGACAAACTGGACCGTCACTGAAGACAAAAACTATGACAAAATTAGTTTATCATATGTGATTTCAAAGGGCACGTGCCCTACAACTTAAAGTGACGAATGTCAATGACAAACAGTTCCCTCATAATATCTTGTTTAGTCTGTTGGTTGTATTAAAGTGTGACAAAATAAACAGTCTAATGTGACAAGATCTTTCGTCATGGTAGGACAACATATTATGACAACGATATATTGTCAAGTTGTCCGAACAATATTATGACAAACGAAAAGTTAAAATTTGTCACATTAGACCTAATACGACAGAGCAAAGCTGATAAAGCCATTTTGTCATAACACTTGTCACTTTAGACAATAAGTGACAAAATGGCACACTAAAATGACAAATTGGGTGCGTCACAAAATACCTAATTTCTTGTAGTATGGGGAGAACGTCCCAAAGAATCATTCTAGGAAGGCACTATAGAGGCAAGGGTTTGGTCGCCTCATCCACCTCAAAGCCCTAAGATAACTCACTAACACTAGTTTTCCAGGTGGCGCATACCCATCTAACCCTAAAACTTCATACCAAGCGTAGTAGCGCAAGTAAGCTAGTAGGGAAGATTAGGGCGACTTACCCAAGCATAACTACCAACACATGAGGCATAAATTCACTAAAACAACATACCCATAGATAAACTCATTCAAATACCTACTACAATCTAGGGTTCATCTATTCTAAACAACCATTAGAGATTCAAATCATAGAGAGAGATAGGAAAATACAAACTAGAAGAGGGGGAGTGATGAAATCAATCTTCTTCTCCTTGCTTGCACCTACTTCTTGCTCCTTGTGTGGATTGGATCTTCAATGAAGCTCTCCCAAGGTGTTTCCCTCTCTAAAACACTATAAAATCCTAACTTTCTTACTCTAGGGCGGCTCTCCTTGTCAAGTGCATTAAAGGGGGTATTATAGAAAGTTGATGGCGGTCAAGGCCTCTAGGGCGTGACGCGATGTTCATGGACGTGATCTGGTAGTGACTTGGCCGTGACCTGCTAGAACGTCTCCGAATCGCCCGAAACAATGCGTTTTGACTCCGACTTTAAGCTCCAAGATCGCAGCCTCCTTCATAAGATCGCGATCTTTTTCGCGGTCAAAATGCACCATGTCTGCTATTCGACTAGGGAAACTTTATGTCTTCTTGGTCGCCTGCTGAAGTTCACGGCTACTATTCATGGTTGCGATCTTCAGCCCTCGAGCATGGTCACGCCCTGGTGGTCACGGCCGTGACTAGTGCCTTGTCTCCCCTTCTTGCTCCTATGCTTTCCAATCATCCTCAGATGAACTCCAATCGATTCGTGATCAATCCCAAATGCATATAAGACCTGGAATTTCATCACAAACACTTGGAAAAGCATAAAAATATGACAAAGTGGGGTCAATTCCCCCATGAAAACCTTCATATCAAGAATACCTATACCAAAATGGATGTTTTGCTAATAGTAACGAAAATAGGCATAAATAACTTAATATGTGGCCTAGACACGGTGATTTAACATGAAAATGCCTTAAGAATAAGGGCTAAATAACGCCTATTTTAGCTGTTATCATTGCTAAGAAAATCCAATACAAGCATTCTATAGATCTTCTCCTCCACGCTCAATAACTTCAACCACACCGGTCTTGGAGCCATAAGAGTTTGGTGGTGAAGCGCTAGTGAATATCATCTACAAAATAATGAATGATGTGTTACATAACAACTCTAGCCCCTTCATGATCCACTAGTTTATCTACAAGAGGTTTCTTCAAAGGTGGTGGTTGATGTGGAATGGGTTCCTCAATGACAACTTTGATTTGTCGGGATTTACTCTTATTCTTGTTGTTCTTCTTAGAACCATGGCGAGTTCTAGGAGAATTGGAGATCTCTAAGCCTTGTGAATCCTCCCCCCAGACCATGCCCTTATGCTTGCTAGATACCCTAGAAAGGAAGTGTGATACAAAAGGTAGAAGAACACCATCAATCCATCCACACTCTAATTGAACTCTTAGAATCAACCTTAACATCATCAATGCACCCCCACACTTAAGTGGGACAATGAGGAAAAAGAAGAAGCATGGGTGTAAAGAAATGGCAAGGGCTAAGGTCCTATCATTCATTATCTAAGCTAATCAATCTCTAACTTTAACAAGTTCTTCAAAAGAAAAGAGAAAGATACACAAATCTAAATTGATGGGTTGCATCCCAACTAGCGTGTCTTTGAAGTCTTTCGCCGGAATTTCTCTTGAGATAGCTATATGAGAGGAGCTCAATCCTCCACTTTGGATGCTTCTTAGTAATCAAACGTATGGTGAAGCTCAAGCTGGAGACCATGAAGTCTCTCGGCCGCCTCATCTATGGCTAGTGATTAAAGCATTGCTCGGTAAGTTGATGATGTTTGAAGAAATCAAGCTTCCTTACTCCGAAATTTTCTTCCGTAAGTGGCTTGTAGCACCCCCCGGATCATTCTTTTTCCACAATGGAAGTTAACTTGCTTCCATCTTTCTTCTTCATTTTATCACACATCTTGGCCTTAGGATACTTATTTCGAATTTGAACTTCCAAAGTACCCACCGATCTAACTTGGCTTGATGGGACACGAGGAAGAACTCTTGCATCTTCTTGTTGTGAGGAGAACTACTCTCTCCAAATTCTTCCATTGAATTCTTTGAGTCATTCTTCTCTCCGTTCTTTGTATCGATTGGATCCTCGTGAAACACCAAGTTGAACCATTCAAATTCAGGGCTTGAAGGTGGTGTTGGAGGAGGTGTAGCTGGCTCACAATCCTTCTCCACGTCTTCCTATTTTTAGTACTTATGGAAAGTGGGGAGTGGATTCATCTTATATCTAATCTCCTCTTCATCGAACCTTAAGATAATTCGACTCTCACTAACATTAATGATTGTCCTTGTTGTAGCTAGGAATGGCCTTCCAATAGGGATGACAATGGTTTGCCTAAACCATCCCCATCCTCATTTTCAAATACCCAAACCCATACCCGCCCCATACCTATACGGGGAATGTTTTGCAAACCCATCCCCATACCTGTGGGTTTGGGGTACCCATGGGTAATACCCACCCCGTACATCCAACATTATTATACCTAAAACTTTGCAAGAAAATTTTTCAATAATAAAACGAACCTATTATATCATGAAAAAGATTTGGATAAAAAATAGACATTACCCTAGTAATTAACTAGCATAATCTTGTTGACAAGGGGGAAAGTGAAAGAATGAATGAAGAATTGAGGAAAATAAATTAGGTTTTGATTAGGGTGGCCACTCAATTGCATTTCTACTATTTATTTTCTCGAGTTACATTCACTATCATTGATAGGTTACAATTTGATCCACATATTTTTTTATATGTGAAGAAATTTTCTTGGTGGGGCGGGTATGGGTATGGGGCGGGGGAGACTAAAACCATACCCATCCCATACCCATCAAACTTTTTGCGGGTTTTACCCATACCCGCCCCATACCCAGTTAAAGCGGGGGATTCCCGAGTTGACTGGATCGGGGGCGGTCGAATACACACGGCCATAGGTTTGACTGCCATCCCTATCTTCCAAGAATAATTGGTGTGTCGATACATCCTTCAGTGTTCAAGATCAGGGTTCAAGAAGGCGTGCCTAGGCGCACGCCTATGTTCAATTAGGCGCTAGGCGGTGGAGGATCGCCTTGCCTTGGCCATAGGCGTTGTAAAAGGAGCTAGTAGCGCTTTGTAGGTAGGAATAGCGCTTAGTTTGCGCTTAGTGGAGAGAAAGCGTGCCTGGACGTTCCTGGGCGAGCTTAGGCGGTTAAACCCAATACTCTTCGTTTTGTCATAGAAAATAAAAAACTTGACTCTTGCCCTATAAAATCAGAAACACGGGAAGTAACATCTGTTGCCGCCTGCCGCCCTAGCTCTCACCCCATCTGCTACCGCTTGCCGCCCTAGCTCTCGCCCCATTTGCTGCTCTCTGCTGCCGCCGGAGAAAGTCATCGATCACTCTTCCCGCCTTCACACCGCTCCGCTGCTATAGTGGGAAATAAAGTCGAAACTCGTCAATTGCTGCTCCTTCCTTCTCCTCGGTACGTAGCACAAGCTTCTTGCCTTTATAAGCACCTATTAGCAGATGATTGGTCACTATTTTCTTGTTATTTGTTATGTTAAGTGTTTACTGTTAAGAACTAGGCATTGCTAATTTTATATGCACTTGATTATATGAATTATTCCAAAAAATAAGAAATATTTGAGAAATTTTCCATTTATGCTCTAAACGCCTAGGCTACGCCTAAACGGGC